ACGTTTCTTCAATAAAGATTCCCACATGATGCACAGGTGGAGTTATGAAGAGATGACTGACGCTCCACACATAGGAAAGAAGGAACACTGCAGCAGGCCTACCAACCCATGCAAGGCAGGTCCAATTCTCCCACCTTGGGTAGTTTCAAATTTAGGTTGGATTAATACACGAGTGAGAGGGGTTGGATTTGAGTGGGACTTGCACGTGAGTAAATAGAAAGAAGAAACACTGCATCAGGCCTGTTGGCCCATACTATGTAGGTCCTTCACAGTCCATCCCACTAACAGAATATTTGCCCAACCCAATTTTCAGTGCTACCCAAGCAATAAGCTTTGATAATTCTACTCATGTACAAGTCCCACTCAAATCCAACCCCTCTCACTCATGTGTTCATCCAACCTAATATGTTTATCAAACACTATTTACCCCCCCTTTTATTAATTCCTGTTCTCCATTTATACACCTCCACAGTGTGTGTGACTGTGTGTTACTCTGTGTGTGAGTCTCACACACACAGTCGCACATGGCACACATGGCACATGGAAATAGGGTAGTTGACGAGTGGGACAGTCTGCCTAGTAGGGCTAAAGCCTTGGGTAGTTTCAAATTTAGGATGGATAAATACATGAGTGAGAGATGTTGGATTTGAGTGGGACTTGCACATGAGTAAATAGAATTATCAAAGCTTATTTCTTGGGTAGCATTGAAAATTGGGTTGGGCAAATATTCTATTAGTGGTATGGATTCTGAAGGACCTGCCTAGTATGGGCCAACAGGCCTAGTGCAGTGTTCCTCCTTTCTTATGTCCTCTCTCTCTGCACAGGTCATTAAGTTATAAGATTTGAAGCTAGCAATATAAATTTGTGAAGCTTAGCATAAGAACAAGTATGTTGGAAATAAACATGCAAGCTCTGTAATTTAGGTTATAATATCCGACACATACTCTTTGTTTGGGGCGGATGCAGATGCAGATGCAGATGTTTATTTAATCGTGATTCCGGATGCGAATATCTCGTTTAGAAACATGGGGATGCGGATGTAAGAAATTGTGCAGATGTTCCGCGGATGTGGATACGGATATCCGATACATCCCTTGTACCTACTGTAATAGGAGTCTTAAGGTTTTTTGCAGTAAAATTTGAAAAAATATATTCTCCGTATTCATCACTAAAGCAAGTGGTGTTATAACAAGATAGTTCGTTAGAGTAATAGATTGCAATACCTCCCCCAACTTGGTGTAGTCTGCAGTTATGGATTGCTGTGTATCCCGGTAGTGGTGATGAAAGCTTTTCTTTTTTGGGCCGCCCTGCCTTGGTGGGAAATAGCTGATGTGTTAATAAAAAAATAAAGCATTAACCCTTTCAGGGTCAAGAGGCTCTCTCCTAAACCTGTTCTCAGGGTCAAAAATTTTTCAGAAAAAAAAATGATTTTTCTTATGAAAAGATAGAGAATGTTTTCCTGATCATAATGACACCAAAAGTATGAAATTTGGTGGAAAACTTAGGGAATTATGCTCTCGCGAAGTTAGCGGTCTCGACGATGTTTACGCATTGGCGATTTCGCCCACTTTGAGCCCTATTTTCAGTCAATTCCAATGTACTAGTCGACAAAAATCATAGCTATTTTGCTTGAACTCCATTTTCTCTATCGAATGAGTAAAAGAAACCACCCATTTACCAATTTCAACTATCCTATAAGGTGGTCAGAAATTAGCAATTTTGCCAATTTCACACAAGTTTCAAAAGATGCCAATTTCCAAATAGGGTCCAGAATAAACAAGACAGACATTCCTGGCACTAAAATAACATTTTCTCTGTTCATTAATCATGTTCCCATGCCCCTCTTACATTTCTTTTGCTTTCCACTTTGAATTTTTATTCTCACAAAAAATAAAAATGTTATGCAGACCACTGCATTAGTGTAGAAATGGTATAAATAATATCAGCGCACTTGTGAAAGAATATTAGACTCGCCAGTTGACGCTTATTGGACGCGTGGCATAATTTGTTCACTTTTGAACTTTGGCAAAAATCGAACATTTCTGCTACTTTGAGCTCAATTTCAAGGTACTTTTTATTGTGAAACCAATCAAAATCATCTCAATTTCTGTAATATGTCTTCCATTCTATAAAATGAGACCCGGAAAACTGGAATACAACCATAAATACTATATGAAAATACAGTGGACCCCCCGTTAACGATTTTAATCCGTGCAAGAGGGGTAATTGTTATGCGAAATAATCGCTATGTGAATGAATTTTCCCCATAAGAAATAATGGAAATCAAATTAATCCGTGCAAGACACCCAAAAGTATGAAAAAAAAAATTTTACCACATGAAATATACATTTTCCCACACACAAAGAGAAGGATACATGCACAATAGTAGAGTAGTACATGCACAGTATATATTGTGCATGTACTAGTCTACTAAATGAAGAATAAATGACACTTACCTTTATTGAAGATGCAGCAATGACTGATGAGACACTGTGTCCTGGGAGTGCCTTTTCCTCCTGAGTACTGTAGGTCCTGTTTGGCATTTTCTTCCAGAACAGGCCTTATCACACTGTGTATGCCACTACGATTCTTAAATCTCTCAAACCAACCTTTGCTGGCTTTAAATTCACCAATATGAGCACTAGTTCCAGGCATTTTTCCCTGTTCACCTGGGTGTTAGTCGACTTGTGTGGGTTGCATCCTGGGAGACAAGATTAAGGACCCCAATGGAAATAAGTTAGACAGTCTTCGATGACACTGACTTTTTTGGGTTATCCTGCGTGGCAAATCCTCTGGGGTTAATTGTTTCTTGGTATTCTCAATAAGCCACACCAACAACGGTGCTACAGCAGCAGCAGCAGCAGCAGCTGACAGTGCAGCAGCAGCAGCAGCTGTACCACCAATAGTAGCGATGGTTGATTGGGGTTTATTATACAACCTGGCCAGCTCGGAGACATGCACTCCACTTTCATACTTATCAATGATCTTTTTCTTCATCTCTATTGTAATTCTCACCCTTATTGCTGTAGGGTTGGCACTAGAAGCTTTCTTGGGGCCCATGGTCACTTATTTTCCAGAAAAAGCACCGAAAACACTGTAATAATACGAAATATTCCGATTGTATGCTTGGATGTTACCGCGGAGGCTGGCTGGTAAACAATGCCACCGGCGGAACATGTGAGCGTGGCTCAGGCCGCGTCTCGGACGAAAATCGGTAAGCGGGTTTTTAAGCGGTATGTGAGGCAAAATTTTTGCGATTAAAGTAAGCGGTATGCGAAATAATCGCTATGTGATGCCATCGTTATGCGGGGGTCCACTGTACAGTGCAAAGTCGCTGTTTTAAACCAAAAACACTGTCAAAGTTTTTTTTTTCTCATTACGTACTGTGTGCTGCAGGATTTTTTTATACTGCACACACTGACCACATAGACCCATTCTTTCATATGTAGGCCTACCATCTTTCTCTCGCTAGATTTGAGGGCGCTAGAATTTAGGCGTACTAGTACGTCAATAACCCTGGTGTGTAAGTCGTACTGGTACGTCAGAAACTCTGAAAGGGTTAAGGGCCATAAACTGAACAGGAGAATATTTCTGAACTTTATTAATGATAAAATAAATAATCGTAGTAATATTGAGGAAACATAAACTCAGATACCACTTTGGGTACAGGTAACAGATCGTACATTTATTCATCTTCAACAATGCAAAAAAAAAAAAAATAAAAAAAATAAACTTGAAAAATAAAGAAAAACATTGCAATATCAGAGAAACACTAGTTCCGATTTGACCTCAAGTGCAGATAACATCTCAGTGAATCTGATCTTACATTTGACCTTGAGTACAGGTATTATCTCAGTGAATCTGATCTTACATTTGACCTTGAGTACAGGTAACATCTTGGTGAGTCTGATCTTACATTTGACCTTGAGTACAGGTAACATCTCACGGAAACCCTGAAAGAGTTAAAAATGGCTTGAGTGACGTTAAAAGTAGATTGGGCAAATATTTTTATAAGTGGGTTTGAGTTTGAGAAGGACTTACCCAGTATGGGCCAGTAGGCTTGATGCAATGTTCCTCCATTCTTATGTTCTTATGTTTTTAAAAGAAGACAGAGAAGCTTTTCTATAATTTGGGAAGAGGGAACTGTAAACCACATTTCAGTCCATCTTAGACCATTATCAAGCCTAGGATGAACCCGAATGCAAGCTTAATTTTTTATTATCAAATTTTAGGCCAGGTGTAAGTTGTACTAGCCATTATATTGTGACTTCTATTCCTCATACACAGTAATACCTTGCTGTATGTGGGGTTGTTGTGAGCTAGTTTATGCTTTCACGTGATGACCCGGTTTCAGTCAGTGTTCCGTGTTTGTTTTATATTGGCTCCTGTGTGATCAGTGCAATTTGGAACACGTGAGTATGAGGCAATACAGTACACTTTGAGATTACTGCAGCTTCTGATGTAGGAGGGCCCTGCTTATACAGTAGGTTAGATTCCAGGTTAATGCTTTAAAGTGAAAATTGGTGTAAAGTGAAACAGCTTTTATCACTTTCAAATGCATATAAAAGCCTGATAAGATATATTAAGTGAGTAATAGAGCTAGGCCTAAAAATTGCATATACACTACACACATTACTTACCTTAAAATATTTTCATCCTTAGCTTATAGTTAGTGGTGAATATATTTATTGTAGGAAGTCTGAATAAATGAATAGATATAACTAAAAACCACAGTATAGCAAAGTGCTGTAAAATGGGGCCCTCCTCTATATACACCATTCTCCTGGAATCCATCTATTGTATAAAGTGAGAGGGATACCCATTGTGGAATAGGGAGCAGGAATTATTGTTGTGTAGTGGTATTTTGTTATGCAATGGCAAAAACTTAACCAGTGTTATTTTGTAAATTATATTCTAAGCTATAGTGATTTTTCTTAGTGTTTTCATAATGCAATTAAAAATATTTTTGTACTGCAATTAAAAATATTTTTGTTTTGCAGCTTTTGTAAAATCCAGAGACAAGAAGTACCACAAATTTTATCAGCTGTTGGTGAATACACAGATGTTCAGCAAGTTTATAGAAGAACGCTCGTTTGTGTCGGATAAGGATGCATCCCTGGCATTCTTCGATGACTGTGCCGAGAAGGTTAGGGACGAGGGTACAGAAAGTCACCAACTTAAAAGCACATTAAGGACCTCCTAAATGGTGTATAATATTCATAATAGAGGAAGTCTTCAACTTACAAACACGTTGAGGACCTTCTGTATTGTGTATAATAATGATGATATACACCATAATGATATAATGGTATTGTACACATTACAAAAGATTCTCAACATACACAAATAACTTGCACATAGGAGAGAGGAGCTAACAACGATGTTTCAGTCCGACTTGGACCATTTACAAAGTCATGCTAACAAAAAGAAGAGAGGGAGGGAATATACACAGGCCAGCAGACAGGGATGGGAGAAGAGAGGCAGTAGGTAGTGCAGGTTATTTGTGTATTGTTCCAGTCATGGTATTGCGCATTTTTGTTATTCTAAACATGTTTGGAAGTTGAGGACTTACTGTACTTTAACCCTTAAACTGTCCAAACGTAGATCTATGTTCACTCGAGTAGTGCTCCAAATGTAGATCTACGTTCACTCGAGTAGTGCTCCAAATGTAATCTTCATTCCATTTAACATGCAATCATATGTAAAAGAATAGTAGATCTACGTTCAGACCAGAATGCGAGTGAACATAGATCTACGTTTGGACAGTTTAAGGGTTAATTGCTGAAATACGTTTCTGTTGCACATTTCTTTCATCACAGATCATATACAGGGTGAACAGAAACAAGTTTTTATCACTTTATCACACTTCTTTCATCACAGATCATAGACTAGGTAGACAAAGATAACTAACCTTTAATCCAGAGATGCAACAATAACAAGGGGCATGGATGGAAATAACACATCCATAACAATAAATGTTGATAATCATAACCATAATTTTCAAAGTGGTGGAGTGGTAAGCCAGTGGAAGGCCTCAGTCAGATGACCAAAAGCTCCAGCTGCAGGTCATAAAATGACTTAAGACCAGCATCAGGAAACACTTGTCCTGTTTCTTGACAAACCTTACCTAACCTAACCTAACATGTGCACATGAGCCAGAGGATTACTAGAGAGTATTTCTTCAGTGTAAATGAGGTAAATAAGTGGAATTGGTTATACAGTGGCAAAGTGGTAGCAAACTCCATAAGAGAGATTCAAAAACTATGATAAGACTTGACGACTTCAGTTAGTCGGAAGTTTGGAATTAAGTAAGTTTTTATTCAGATACAGGTACACATAAATACATAGATTATCATACATAGCAGCATGTGTGTAGATTATCTAGGATAACCCAAAAAAAGTCAGACCAGAAGCTGGAGCTTATCCCCATCCCCTGAATACTTAAATTAGCAGCTAGATAAATACAGGTACACATCATATATTCGTTACACAGCGCTCACTTTAGAGCATTTCGCTAATATGGCGCTTTTCAATTATATTTGCATTTATTATTTTTGGTGCTTGCTTTGCTCTTAAGATGGTTTTTGGCAATTTTAAAAATTTTTGGATTAATTGTTTTTTCTTTTGTATATTTTTTTATTCCTTGTGCTATTGCACACTTAGTAAATGATAGTGTAAACAATATTTTTAAGTTTTAAAAAGACAGATTTGCATTAATGTGACAGTCTGGAACCTTTTTTTTTTTTTTTTTTTTTTTTTTTTTTCAACAAGTCGGCCGTCTCCCACCGAGGCAGGGTGACCCAAAAAAGAAAGAAAATCCCCAGAAAGAAAATACTTTCATCATCATTCAACACTTTCACCACACTCACACATTATCACTGCTTTTGCAGAGGTGCTCAGAATACAACAGCTTAGAAGCATATACGTATAAAGATACACAACATATCCCTCCAAACTGCCAATATCCCAAACCCCTCCTTTAAAGTGCAGACATTGTACTTCCCATTTCCAGGACTCAAGTCCGACTATATGAACATAACCGGTTTCCCTGAATCCCTTCACTAAATATTACCCTGCTCACACTCCAACAGATCGTCAGGTCCCAAGTATCATTCGCCTCCATTCACTCCTATCTAACACGCTCATGCACGCTTGCTGGAAATCCAAGCCCCTAGCCCACAAAACATCCTTTACCCCCTCTTTCCAACCCTTTCGAGGACGACCCCTACCCCTCCTTCCTTTCCCTATAGATTTATATGCTTTCCATGTCATTCTACTTTGATCCATTCTCTCTAAATGACCAAACCACCTCAACAACCCCTCTTCTGCCCTCTGACTAATGCTTTTATTAACTCCACACCTTCTCCTAATTTCCATACTCCGAATTTTCTGCATAATATTTACACCACACATTGCCCTTAGACAGGACATCTCCACTGCCTCCAACCGTCTCCTCGCTGCTGCATTTACCACCCAAGCTTCACATCCATATAAGAGTGTTGGTACTACTATACTTTCATACATTCCCTTCTTTGCCTCTATAGATAACGTTTTTTGACTCCACATATACCTCAACGCACCACTCGCCTTTTTTCCCTCATCAATTCTATGATTAACCTCATCCTTCATAAATCCATCCGCCGACACGTCAACTCCCAAGTATCTTAAAACATTCACTTCTTCCATACTCCTCCTCCCCAATTTGATATCCAATTTTTCTTTATCTAAATCATTTGATACCCTCATCACCTTACTCTTTTCTATGTTCACTTTCAACTTTCTACCTTTACACACATTCTCAAACTCATCCACTAACCTTTGCAATTTTTCTTTAGAATCTCCCATAAGCACAGTATCATCAGCAAAAAGCAACTGTCAATTCCCATTTTGAATTTGATTCCCCATAATTTAATCCCACCCCTCTCCCAAACACCCTAGCATTTACTTCCTACCTTTATCTAAATACTGTTCACATATATGCTTCAATGTAAACACTTGATCTACACATCCCCTACCCACTCTGAAGCCTCCCTGCTCATCCGCAATCCTACATTCTGTCTTACCTCTAATTCTTTCAATTATAACCCTACCATATACTTTTCCTGGTATACTCAGTAAACTTATTCCTCTATAATTTTTACGATCTCTTTTGTCCCTTTTCCCTTTATATAAAGGGACTATACATGCTCTCCACCAATCCCTAGGTACCTTCCCCTCTTTCATACATTTATTAAACAAAAGTACCAACCACTCCAACACTATATCCCCCCCTGCTTTTAACATTTCTGTCATGATCCCATCAGTTGCAGCTGCTTTACCCCCTTTCATTCTACGTAATGCCTCACGTACCTCCACCACACTTACATTCTGCTCTTCTTCACTCCTAAAAGATGGTATACCTCCCTGGCCAGTGCATGAAATTACTGCCTCCCTTTCTTCCTCAACATTTAAAAGTTCTTCAAAATATTCTCTCCATCTACCTAATACCTCCCTCTCCCCATCTACTAACTCCCCTACTCTGTTTTTGACTGACAAATCCATACTTTCCCTAGGCTTTCTTAACTTGTTTAACTCACTCCAAAATTTTTTCTTATTTTCATTAAAATTTCTTGACAGTGCCTCTCCCACTCTTTCATCTGCTCTCCTTTTGCATTCTCTCACCACTCTCTTCACCTTTCTTTTACTCTTCATATACTCTGCTCTTCTTATAACACTTATGCTTTGTAAAACCTCTCGTAAGCTACGTTTTTCTCTTTTATCACACCCTTTACTTCATCATTCCACCAATCACTCCTCTTTCCTCCTGCCCCCACCCTCCTATAACCACAAACTTCTGCCCCACATTCTAATACTGCATTTTTAAAACTATTCCAACCCTCTTCAACCCCCCCACTACTCATCTTTGCACTAGCCCACCTTTCTGCCAATAGTCGCTTATATCTCGCCCGAACTTCCTCCTCCCTTAGTTTATACACTTTCACCTCCCTCTTACTTGTTGTTGCCACCTTCCTCTTTTCCCATCTACCTCTTACTCTAACTGTAGCTACAACTAAATAATGATCTGATATATCAGTTGCCCCTCTATAAACATGTACATCCTGGAGCCTACCCATCAACCTTTTATCCACCAATACATAATCTAACAAACTACTTTCATTACGTGCTACATCATACCTTGTATATTTATTTATCTTCTTTTTCATAAAATATGTATTACTTATTACCAAATTTCTTTCTACACATAGCTCAATTAAAGGCTCCCCATTTACATTTACCCCTGGCACCCCAAATTTACCTACTACTCCCTCTATAACATTTTTACCCACTTTAGCATTGAAATCCCCAACCACCATTACTCTCACACTTGATTCAAAACTCCCCACGCATTCACTCAACATTTCCCAGAATCTCTCTCTCTCCTCTACACTTCTCTCTTCTCCAGGTCTGGAACCTAACCCACCATATTAGTGAGGTATGCCTGTAATAATAATATTAATAATAATAATAAATATTGTGATGCTCACATGGAGTGTTTGCTTTCAAATTTTATTATTCACTAGCATCTTGGTAGGCAAACAATGCTACTAAATTTCTGCCATATTTGATATCTATAGTGAACAAATGTAAACAGTTGAAACAGAGTGCTTGGGATTTAAACGCAGAGTTCAAATCCATCCTGAGCGATGGACTAGCTCTCTGAGGATGCCTAAACAGTGATTCAAAACCTAAGCACTTGATTTGATTGTTGGAATAGCTAGTAAATGTTTGAATATGTGAATTAGAAATCTCCATCTTTTTAGCTATATTAATCGTGTGTGTACTCCAAGAGGTGTGTATCTCTGTGTGGATATATTCTGAGATGTGTGTTTCTCAGTATATACAGTAGGGCCCCACTTATACGGCGGGTTAGGTTCCAGGCTGTCGCCGGAAAGCAGACATCACCGGAAGGCAGAACTCCATTTTTTTCCATTTATAAATGCATATAAATGCCAGACAACAAGTTTACACTAAATTATATTAAGTTAGTAATAGAACCAGGCATTAAAAACACACAAAGTAAAATACAGTCACAGTAAATTCATTACTTATCTTAAAGTATTTGTAATCTTAATGTAGGGAGAGAGGTGAGTAGTACTTATTTGTAGGAAGTCAGGTGCAGGTAGCCCAGGTGTAGGTACCACTGGCTCCCCGTCTCATACTTAATATACGATATTTAAAACATCCCAGTGAGGTAAAATGCACATACAGTACACTCATTATTTACCTTAAAATATGTGTAGTCTTAATATAGGAAGAGAGGTGAGTAGTATTTATTTGTATAAAGTCAGTGTAGGTAGCCGGTAGGTGTAGCCCGCCTGGGCTACACCTACCGGCTACCTACACTGTGGCCCAGAGCCATATTATTAATAGCGACATGCCTTGTTCACTGAATTTAATCATTTCTAACAGCTACCTTTAGATGCCATCATAAACGAAGGTAGAAGTAATGAATAATTCATGCCGAAAATTGTAAACAAAAGCGGAGTGAGGGAGTGGCTGGGCCAAACGCAGATTCATGCACGTTTTCTCTGATGGCTGAACAGAGAAAACGTAATGTTGTCCCTCCATCCGGCTACCACACAGCTCCACAAGTATTATTATCAGAGCACACATAAAATATGCAATAAATGCCTGGTGGCCTGGTGGTTAACGCTCTCGCTTCACACGGTGAGGGCCTTGGTTCGATTCCCAGCCAGAGTAGAAACATTGGACGTGTTTCTTTCCACCTGTTGTCTATGTTCCCCATCAGTAAAATGGGTACCTGGTGTTAGTCGACTGGTGTGGGGGTGACATCCTGGGACACTGAGATACTGACCTAAGGAGGCCTGGTCACAGACCGGGCCGCGGGGGCGTTGACCCCCGGAACTCTCTCCAGGTAAACTCCAGGTAAACAACAAGTTTACACTAATATTAAGTTAGCAATAGAAATAGGCATTAAAAACACAATAAAAGGTAAGATACACACAGAGTACACTTATTACTTACCTTAAAATATTAATATTAATGTGTGAGAGGTGAGTGGCAGGGTGTTTATTGAATAAAATCAGAATGGCACACCATCATCCTCTAACTTGGCACTTAAAACAAGAGGCTTACAACTTCTCTTTTTATCACAGCTAACCTTAGACGCCATCGTCAATAAGAGGCAACTAGTTAACGAAAGAGTAAACGAGAGAGAGAACGAGATACAGAGTTGAGACAGTGTAAGAACACAAACTGAACAGGTAGTGGACGATCACTTGGTCAGGCAAAATAAATGCGTATTAATATGTGTCTACTTTTAGTTCATTCACGTCCATTTGTAAGAGTTTGTAAAACATTTACCTCAATAATTTTTTTTTTTATAATAATAATTACCTCACAATACAAATACTCTTACATTGTGTACAAGTTGTACAAGTTAGTTCAGAATAAACAAACAGCAACACACCATTTTTAGAGTGAATGAAGATAATAATATTAATAATAATAATAATAATATTATTATTATTATTAATATTAATAATAATATTGTTATTGTTTGGAGGGATATGTTGTTTATCTTTTTACGTATATGCTTCTAAGCTGTTGTATTCTGAGCACCTCTGCAAAAGCAGTGATAATGTGTGTGGTGAAAGTGTTGAATGATGATGAAAGTATTTTCTTTTTGGGGATTTTCTTTCTTTTTTGGGTCACCCTGCCTCGGTGGGAGACGACCGACTTGTTGAAAAAAAAAAAAAAAAAAAAAATAATAATAATAATTATTATTATTATTTATTATAAAAAGCACTAAACCCAGAAGGGTCGTGAATTGCTATACATAGAGTAAAGGCATATGAAAAGAATATTTTTCTACAGTTACCCCCCAGTGTTTGACTAGAGAAAACATAATTCTTCCGACACTACCTACACAGCTGCTTTGTAAACAAATCTCATATTTACATCAATTTTTATTCTGAGTGTATGTATCATGTTTATATGCTATGTAATGGGTTTCATATATAATTTTGAGGAAAATATCATAGATGGATTAATGAAAATGCCTATATTGATGTAAAATAAGACATTTAGTGTGCCCAAGAGTGATTATTATTACGTAGTATTGGCGTCATGAGTAGAGAGAGACTTAGCGATTTTAATGTGTACCTGCACACCAGCACAGTGTGTAAGTATATTTAGGTACAGGTACACATAAGTATAATTATCAGAGTACATATAAAATATGCAGTAACTTTAAAACACTTGAAATTTTGGAAAGTTTCCTAACATAATAGATGTGGTCACGGAAAATGTAAACAAACCGGGTGGGGGCGCCGTATTTGAAAGACCGCTTGCTGTATAGCAAATTTTGGTCACAATTTGACATCGCCGTATTAGCGGAACGCCGTAAGGCGAAACGCCGTAAAGCGGGGCCTTACTGTATAAGTCAAAGAGTTTTCTTCAGTCCCAATTTTAGGGTTTAAAGTATGTTTTTGGTTGGTTGTGCACAAGTGGTAGTGATCCTTGATGACTGTCATGTAATCACTTGGTTTTAAACCCAGTAATCTTCTCAGGTTGTTGATGATGACACCAGCGTACGTTTGCTGGAGGTGGAATTGGCCCAGAGTGAGCACACACTGTTTCTCCCACCACCAGAACCTCTCTACCTTCCTGAAGGCATCACCTACACCTACTCTGTAAGAATATAATAATGGTGTACAATACTGACAAGTTGATCAGTTAGACACATGTGCAACAGTTAGGTATCTTTATTCCAAAATTTTTCAGAATAAAGGTACCTAACTGTTGCCAACTTGTCTTGCATTTGTCTGTTACCTGCAACTGTAGTTGCGTTCCCACACATGAGCACAAGATGCTTAGTAACCAGACAAAATTAAATGATAATAAAAGGGAAAATGATGAGGCAAAAGCCTAAAAAAAATTTGTCTTGTAATGACAGATGGAGTAATTTAAAAAAATGACAAGAGAAACCTAATACAGTGGACCCCCGGTTAATGATTTTTTTTCACTCCAGAAGTATGTTCAGGTGCCAGTACTGACCGAATTTGTTCCCATAAGAAATATTGTGAAGTAGATTAGTCCATTTCAGACCCCCAAACATACACGTACAAACGCACTTACATAAATACACTTACATAATTGGTCGCATTCGGAGGTAATCGTTATGCGGGGGTCCACTGTACACTCGTGTCTAATTGAAATTAAACTGGTAAACCATATTTTGACTGAGATATTTGATGGGAACTACAATACAAACTTAAGAAATTAATATTCAAGAGACAACAGTAAAAATTCATAATATTCAAAAGAAGAACGTTATGGTAGTCCATGCATGCAATCCATTATTCAAGTCAACTCTTAGTTTTGGAATTACAAATACAAATTTCTTTTTTGCAGTATACAGGTAATGTAGTTTACATGTAATAAAATATTGGTAAGAACAAAAGAAAACCATTAGCATGCAGTGCATTTTGGGCAGACTAATAAAAAATTGGGTTTCAAGACTTTATTTAACCCTTAAACTGTCCAGCCGTAGATCTACGTTCACGTGCGTAGTACTCCGACCTTTATTTTCTCCATTTGAAAGCATGTAAAAAAAGTAGATCTATGTTCGGAGCACTACGCACGTAAACATAGATCTACGTTTGGACAGTTTAAGGGTTAAATGCTGAGTTTTTGATAGGCAATTACAGCTATATTATTTTACTAGTTTTTTTGGTTCAGTGTTTTTGTGCTGATTTTTTGTTTTTATTTTACCTAATTTTTCAGGGTTTCCCCAAGCTTAAACCCGAGTTATTTCCCATGGGTGAACCCAAGCCTGTGCTGCCCCCTCAGGTTAAAGCCCCACAGATGACCCCGGCCTCTCCTCTGGCACGTCGCACCAAGCAAGAGGTCAAGACAGATCAGAGACTGGCCTCCAGATATTCACAGACACCCATCCTGTGGGCCAAGTGTTTGCTCTCCACCTGTTACAGGTGAGTACTTAAGGTTTTTATTTTTTGAAATAGCAGCAGTCTCCTACCAAGGCTGGGTGACCCCAAAAGAAGAAACACTTTCATGAGGTTTTTCTTCCTTTTACATTTAGCAATTTATGCAGGAGAAGGGGTTACTAGCCCTCTTGTTCTTGGGAGAAGGGGTTACTAGCCCTCTTGTTCTTGGGTGAAGGGGTTACTAGCCCTCTTGTTCTTGGGTGAAGGGGTTACTAGCCCTCTTGTTCTTGGGAGAAGGGGTTACTAGCCCTCTTGTTCTTGGGAGAAGGGGTTACTAGCCCTCTTGTTTTGGGAGAAGGGGTTACTAGCCCTCTTGTTCTTGGGAGAAGGGGTTACTAGCCCTTTTGTTCTTGGGAGAAGGGGTTACTAGCCCTCTTGTTCTTGGGAGAAGGGGTTACTAGCCCTCTTGTTCTTGGGAGAAGGGGTTACTAGCCCTCTTGTTCTTGGGAGAAGGGGTTACTAGCCCTCTTGTTCTTGGGAGAAGGGGTTACTAGCCCTCTTGTTCTTGGGAGAAAGGGTTACTAGCCCTCTTGTTCTTGGGAGAAGGGGTTACTAGCCCTCTTGTTCTTGGGAGAAGGGGTTACTAGCCCTCTTGTTCTTGGGAGAAGGGGTTACTAGCCCTCTTGTTCTTGGGAGAAGGGGTTACTAGCCCTCTTGTTCTTGGGAGAAGGGGTTACTAGCCCTCTTGTTCTTGGGTGAAGGGGTTACTAGCCCTCTTGTTCTTGGGAGAAGGGATTACTAGCTCTCTTGTTCTTGGAAGAAGGGATTACTAGCCCTCTTGTTCTTGGGAGAAGGGGTTACTAGCCCTCTTGTTCTTGGGAGAAGGGGTTACTAGCCCTCTTGTTCTTGGGTGAAGGGGTTACTAGCCCTCTTGTTCTTGGGAGAAAGGGTTACTAGCCCTCTTGTTTTTGGGAGAAAGGGTTACTAGCCCTCTTGTTCTTGGGTGAAGGGGTTACTTACCCTCTTGTTCTTGGGAGAAGAAACCATATCACAGGCAGGGTTAGAACCTGCGATCAGAGAGTCTCAAAACTCCAGACAGACACTTTAGCCACTGGGCCAGCTAGCCACAATAAGATTCATCCAACTAGGCATATTTATACACTGTAGGAAGGTTAGCATAGGCACCATTGTGACCACAAATGCAAGTTTTTACAGACAAATTTCCAACTAGCGTGGCCATGACGAACTCTAGCTCAAATCCCCCTCAAAGCCATCAACATGCCAACCTTCCTATGGTGTATAAATATACCTAGTTAGATGAATCTTATTGTGGCTAGCTGGCCCAGTGGGTAATTCGTCGGTCTTGAGTTTTGAGACTCTGGTCCTGGGTTCTAACTCCGCCTGTGGTGTGGTTTGTTTGCAATTGTGTCATTACAATTTCATGAGTCTTGGGAGAAGAGGTTACTAGCTCTCTTTTTCTTGAGAAGAGTTACTAGCCCTCTTGTTCTTGGGAGAAGGGGTTACTAGCCCTCTTGTTTTTGGGAGAAGGGGTTACTAGCCCTCTTGTTCTTGGGAAAAGGGGTTACTAGCCCTCTTGTTCTTGGGAGAAAGGGTTACTAGCCCTCTTGTTCTTGGGAGAATGGGTTACTAGCCCTCTTGTTCTTGATTACTAGCCCCCATGTTCCTCGGAGAAGGAGTTATTAGCCCCCTTGTTCCTGGGAGAAGAGATTGCTAGCCCCTTGTTCTTGGGAGATGGGGGTTACTAGCCCCAATGTTCCTGTGAGAAGGGGTTGCTAGCCCTCTTGCTCCTGGGAGAAAGGGTTACTAGCCCCCTTGCTCCTGGTAGAAGAGGTTACTAGCCCCCTTGCTCCTGGGAGAAAGGGTTACTACCCCTCTTGTTTTTGAGTGAAGGGGATAATAGCCCCCTTGTTCCTGGGAGAAGGGGTTACTAGCCCCCTTGCTCCTGGGAGAAGGGGTTACTAGCCCTCTTGTTCTTGGGTGAAGGGGTTAATAGCCCCCTTGTTCCTGGAAGGAGGGGTTACCAGCTGTTGCTCCCAGCATTTTAGTCACCTCTTACAATGCATATGGCTTATAGAGGAGAGCAAGAAATCTCTAGTTTAGAAAACCAACAAGCTGAAGAATGAGGCACTTGCACAACATTTGGGAATCTTTATTGAGGAAACATTTCATCCAATACAGAGAAGAACAGTGGAAGATGTAGAGAAGTTTGGGGGTAATCAGTCAGATAATTCAGTCCATCAATCTCAAGAAATGTACATTTTTCAAGAAATATATATACGGGTTAATTCTACTGTAAATAGAGTAACATACTTTTAAGATTATTATTATTATTATAATTATTATTTTTTTTTCAACAAACTGGCCGTATCCCACCAAGGCAGGGTGACCCAAAAAGAAAAATGAAAGTTTCTCTTTTTAAAATTTTAGTATTTCGTACAGAAGAAGGGGTCACTAGCCCCCTTGCTCCCGGCATTTTAGTCACCTCTTACAACACGCATGGCTTACGGAGGAAGAATTCTGTTCCACTTCCCCATGGAGATTAGAGGAAATAAACAAGAACAAGAACTAGAAAGAAAATAGAAGAAAACCCAGAGGGGTGTGTATATATATGCTTGTACATGTGTGTGTAGTGTGACCTAAGTGTAAGTAGAAGTAGCAAGATGTGCCTGAAATCTTGCATGTTTATGAGACAGAAAAAAGACACCAGCAATCCTACCATCATGTAAAACAATTACAGGCTTTCGTTTTACACTCACTTGGCAGGATGGTAGTACCTCCCTGGGTGGTTGCTGTCTACCAACCTACTACCTACAGTTATTGTTATTCTTTCTTCTTTCAACACACCGGCCGTATCCCACTGAGGCGGGGTGGCCCAAAAGGAAAAACGAAAGTTTCTCCTTTTACATTTAGTAATATATACAGGAGAAGAGGTTACTAGCCCCTTGCTTCCGGCATTTTAGTCACCTCTCACAACACGCATGACTTACGGAGGAAGACTTCTGTTCCACTTCCCCATGGAGATTAGAGGAAATAAACAAGAACAAGAACTAGAAAGAAAATAGAAGAAAACCCAGAGGGGTGTGTATATATGTGCTTGTACATGTATGTGTAGTGTGACCTAAGTGTAAGTAGAAGTAGCAATACGTACCTGAAATCTTGCATGTTCATGAGACAGAAAAAAGGACACCAGCAATCCTACCATCATGTAAAACAATTACAGGCTTTCGTTGTACATTCACTTGGCAGGATGGTAGTACCTCCCTGGGCGGTTGCTGTCTACCAACCTACTACCTGTAATTATTATTATTATTATTATTATTATTATTATTATTGTTTTGTTGAGAAGAGCTAAATCCATAAAGGTGGTGTAGTGCACTGAGCCTGGAAGGTAGTGATGCATAGAAGGGAAGGTTAGCTCAAAATTCCTTGAAGCAAGAGCACCTCACCAGTATCAAAGGACCCTCTTGAAAGGACACTTGTGAAGGATTGTAAGAGGCAAGCATAGATTGTGGGAGGTGTACAGGAACACTTATATGGCATTGGGTGTTTGCTGGGCTGTACCTTATTGTCTGTCTCAAGACTAGCAAACAGAGAATTGAGTCTCTTGTCTCTCCTTGCACTGAATATCATGCAGGGATGGAGGATCAAGCCTCCACTTTTCCTTACTGGATAACTTACACACATTTACTGGCTCACATAAAATATTTTAATTACCTGCAATATTTAAAATAGATCATAAGAGTTATTTTCCAGTTCTTGTGTGTAAGAGTAGCAGAATAATGGTGGAGGTTTGTGAGTTGCTTTTGAGACATTTTCTCTTGACACTGCTAGTGGTGGACCTACAATTTTGGGGCCCTAAAGCTTGAACTGTCAGCTTTTGGGGCCCCTCCAGGATTAGGGACCCTGAAGCTAAGTTTCATTAGTTTCATAGTAGATCCATCTCTGGACACTATGTACTTCTTTCAACAAACCTACCATCTTCCACCAAGGTAGGGTGACCCAAAAAGAAGAAGACACTTTCACCATCACTCCACAGTCTTTCCAGAGGGGTACCAATACCACAGTTCAAAGCTACGAATATCCCTGCCCCTCTCTCTCTAGACACAAACACAAATATCTGTCTTGTGGGTAAAAGTGAGAAAGACAAACTATACCACGGGCAGGGATATAACCCGCGATCAGAGAGTCATAAAACTCCAGACTGATTCATTTTATGACTTCGATTGCGGGTTCTATCCCCGCCCAATGGTATGGTTTATTTGCAGTTGTGTCATTACAATTTCATGAGTCACAGTGAGTAAGACATGGAGGTAGTAGCCTCCTGTCATATGGGTGTGAACTTTGCACCTTGGCAGGATTGCTGTTTTCTTCCTGTCTCATGGATAGATAAGATGACAGGTGGATCTTACAATCTACGTATACTGTACTTGTGCCTCAGTTCATAGGGTTATCAAGGCTTATTCCTTGGGTAATATTGATAATATTGTAAAAGTAATAGTGTAAAAGTCAACTAAAATGCCGGGAACAATGGGCTAGTAACCCCTTTTCCTGTAAAGATTACTAAAAAGAATAAGAAGAAGAAAATTGTCAAAGTGGGAAGTCTGAATGTGCGTGGATGTTGTGCAAATGATAAGAAAGAGATGACTGTAGATGTTATGAATGAGAAGAAACTGGATGTCCTGGCTCTAAGTGAAACAAAGCTGAAGGGGGTGGGAGAGTTTCAATGGAGAGGAATAAATGGGATTAGGTCAGGGGTTTCAAATAGAGTTAGAGCTAAAGAAGGAGTAGCAATAATGTTGAAGGATAAGCTATGGCAGGAAAAGAGGGACTACAAATGCATAAATTCAAGGATTATGTGGAGTAAAATAAAGATTGGATGTGAAAAGTGGGTTATAGTAAGCGTGTATGCACCTGGAGAAGAGAGAAGTGTAGAGGAGAGAGAGAGATTCTGGGAAATGTTGAGTGAATGCATGGGGAGTTTTGAATCAAGTGTGAGAGTAATGGTGGTTGGGGATTTCAATGCT